TAGAATAGAATAGAATAGAATAGAATAGAATAGAATAGAATAGAATAGAATAGAATTCTTTATTGGCCAAGTGTGATTGGACACACAAGGAATTTGTCGTTGGTGAAAATGCTCTCAGTGTACATAAAAGAAAAAATAAAATACATTCATCCAGAATCTAAGCCCTTTGTCTAAGTGCTATTTTATTTTGGATCCCTGACCAACTCAGGAGGAGACAGACAGGAGATACAGGTGGTTCTCGAATTGCGACCGTTTGTTTAGAGTCCATTGCACTGAAAAATGTGACTTACGACCAATTGGGTCTCACACTTATGACCATTGCAGGGGAACCTGGGCATCCGTCGACAAGTGGGCTACAGGCCACGGGTCCCAAAGCTGAACAACCAGGGGATGGGGCCTGCAGGGCTACTGGAAGCTGAACAACCTCAGAAGCGGCAGAAATACACCATGTCGGAGAACCGCTCCGTAATGAAATGCTACTACAAAGCAGAACCAGTATAACTGAATTACGATTCGCCGATCAGCAACCATTCATCACTCGGAACAAAGTGCTCAGTGAAGTCGACCTTGAAGAAATATGGAAAAATCGTGAAACGGGAACACAGACTGCTGAACAGCAGACTTCTGAAGTGGCAGCAGAAAATACTCCAATAACATCTGGAGCAACGGAACAGCCCGAATTCAAAGAAAATGCAGATATTTTGCAAAAACAGGATCAGCAAGGGCCTGAAGTCATCACTGAAACACCAGGAGTGCTCAGTGCCAGGCAGCAAGAACTGAAAGCTAAAATCTTGGCACACGCTGCAACAAATGCAGAAAGAAGGCGGCTTCCAACACTGAAGACTGTGCCAAGAAAATATCTGGCGCCATTGGTGATGGATGCGAACTATGCACTTGCAGCAGCCCAGATAACATCAACTGAACAAGCAAATCATCCTGCCTATAATACAGCAGTCACAGTAACAGAAGAACTGGGGATTCAACAGCCGCAGCCCCCTAGAAAATCGACTGGAAAACCACAGTGGAAAATCTGGTTGGAGTTGAAAATCAAGAGCCTGCGAGCAGATGCAAGTAACTTGAAGAATTTGCAGGAGAAAAAGCGGAAGAACAGCAAGATCAAGAAACATCTGATAAAAAAATATGGGCTCAGCACAAGAAAAATGGACGAAGCATTGGAAATTGTGAAGCAGCAGAGAGCAGCAACAGCAAGAAAAATGGAAAGATACGAAGCCAGAGTCATCCAGTACAAACAAAATCAATTGTTCCAATCAGACCAGAGTCTATCTATCAGAGTCTGATTCAGACAGGGGATACGAAATCAGACGGGGGATCCAGGACTACCTAGAAGCAAATAACATCTTGCCAGTACAGCGGAAACGAATGAGGAAACAGAGGCACAAAAGATCAGCTCCTGACCGACAAAATGGTTTTTGAGAACTGCAAAAGCCGAAAAACAAATCTGCATACAACTTGGATTGACTACAAGAAATCATTTGATTCACTACCGCGCAGCTGGATCATCAAGTGCCTGGATGTCATCGGAATATGCAAGTGCGTTGGTACTTTCACTGCAAATGCGATGAAGCACTGGGAAACAGAACTGTTTACTGGAAGTGAAAGCTACAGACTGGTCAACATCAAAAGAGGGATTTTCCAGGGTGATTCTTTGTTCACCTCTGCTGTTCATCATCGCCATGACCCCACTGTCAACAATTTTACAGAAAACTAACCTGGGTTATCAAACTGCTAAAAATTCACAGAAAATCTCTCGCCTGCTGTACACGGATGATCTGAAGTTAAACGGAAAATCAAAAATTGAAATCCAGTCACTGACCAATACAGTTCGAATTTTCAGCACTGACATCAGCACGGAGTTTTGGCCTGGACAAAATGCGCCGTAGTGGCACTGAAGAAGGGGAAGAGCGTAGAAAGTGATGGAATCGAAATGCCCAATGGACAAACCATCAAGTGCCACCAACCCGAAGCCTACAAATACCTGGGCATACTGCAGCTGGATAATATCAAGCACGGGCAAATGAAAAATGTGGTCAGCCAAGAATACACACAAAGGGTCAGAAAACTTCTAAAAGCAAACTAAATGGTGGTAACACCATCAAGACTATAAATACCTGGGCCATACCTGTCATCAGATATACTGCTGGGATCATAAACTGGACACAGGCCGAGCTGGACAGCTTGGATAGGAAAACAAGAAAACTGATGACCATGCACTATGCGCTGCACCCGCGTAGTGACGTCGACAGGTTATATTTGCCCAGAAAAGCAGGCGGCAGAGGACTTTTGCAAGTGAAGCAGACAGGCGAAGAAGAGAAGCACGCTCTGGCAGATTATGTGAAAGACAGTGTTGAACCAGCTTTGATGGAGGTCAACAAGAGGAAGCTGCTCAAAGGGCAGCAAACCAGGAATCAATATAGGAAAACAGTGATGCAAACTCGGGCTGACAGCTGGTGTAGCAAAGCACTGCATGGACAGTTCCTTGAAAAGATCCAAGGAAAAGTAGACAAGGAAAAGACCTGGTTATGGCTGACCAAGGGAACACGGAAGAAAGAAACAGAGGGCCTGATTCTTGCAGCTCAAGAACAAGCCATCAGAACGAATGTAATCAAAGCCAGAATAGAAAAATCTGCTGATGACCCCAAATGAAGACTCTGCAAAGAAGCGGATGAAACCATTGATCACATACTGAGCCGTTGCAAGACAATCGCTCAGACTGACTACAAACAACGTCACAATACAGTCGTTCAGATGGTTCAATGGAACTTGTGTCACAACTATCATCTGCCTGTAGCAAAGAACTGGTGGGATCATAAGCCTGAAAAAGTGGTCGAAAATGAGCATGCAAAACTAGTCTTAATACAGACTGACAAAGTTCTGGAACACAATGCCCCGGATATCACGATTGTGGAGAAGAAAAAAGTGTGGATCGTTGACATTGTCATACCCGGTGATAGCAGAATCGACGAGAAACAACTTGAAAAAGTCACCAGATATCAGGACTTGAGAATCGAACTGCAGAGACTCTGGCATAAACCAGTGCAGGTGGTTCCAGTGGTACTGGGCACACTGGGTGCTGCTGTGCCTAAAGACCTAGGCAAGCATTTGAAAACAATTGGCGCTGACAAAGTCACCACCGGTCAGCTGCAGAAGGCCACCTTACTGGGATCTGCTCGCATAATCCGCCGATACATCACGCAGTCCTAAACACTCGGGAAGGGTTCGGCTAGTGATTTGTGATACGAAACCCAGCATGGTTATCTCGTCTGCTGTGTATACTGTCATTTTGGTGTACAACAACAACAACAACAACAATAATAATAATAATAAAACTCTCCAGAAAATAAGGATGATGTTATCCTTCTGCTTTGGCCCAGTTTGCAATTCAAATCAGGAAGGGAAGAAGAAGAACAAAAGAACAAAACCAGGTGCCCAGCAAGACGCCTTTCTCAAGAAACGGTGTTCTCAGGTGATCCGGCTGTCTGGTTTCCTGCCTTGGCAGCCGGCCAGACAGATGATGATTAGCCGAGGTTGGCTGAGGAGAGGAAGGGTTTGAGCTTCCTGGCTGCTGCCCTCTGTGTAAAATTCTCCTCCGAAAGCTTTTGGCTGCCCTTCAAAGGCTCGGCCGGCAGATCAGGAGGGACATCTGGAATTGCAACCAAGGAAAATCCCCCCCCCCCCGTTTTCTCTCCCATCCAAGACAAGGGGGGGGGAAAGGGGGGGGAGCAGAGTAAAAGGAAGAGAGAAGGTAAAACTCCACTTACCAACTCCACCTGGGGTCCCAGCCCTTCCAGGATCCGGTGAGCAGCTTCTGCCTTTTTCTGCCAACGAAGGAATGGAGACCAAAGTGTGTAGGGAGAGAGAAAATGCACAGAAAATGATGGTTTTATTTTATTTTATTTTTTTAGTTTATTTTTTTGGCTGCAGAAAAAGTGGCCCGCCTAGCTTAACTTCCGCCCCCCCCTTCCTCCCTCTACCAGCCTTCTCCAAAATCCCAGCTCCGATTTCTCTGTTGCAGGAGATGACAAATTAAAACACACTTCCTTCTCCGCCCTCCTCCTTCCCCAGGGCTGGAGAAAAAGTTAACAGCGCAGAGAGAGAGAGAGAGAGAGAGAGAGAGAGAAAGAGAAAGGGAGGAGGGAGAAAACGCTTGTGTGCACGCACAGGCTCCTCAGCGTGTCTCCTCCCTCCCTCCCTCCCTCTCTCTTTCCTTCTTTCGCTTTCTCTCTCCTTTCTCTCTCTCCCCTCTTTTCTCCCTTTCTCTCCTCTCCCTTCTTTCCCTTTTTCTCTTTTCTCTCACCTATTCCTCTCTCTCCCTTTCTCTCCTCTCCTTTTTCTCCCTTTCTCCTCTTTCTCTCCTCTCTCTTTTCTTCCCCTTTTTCTCTCTCTCTCCTCTATTTCTCTTCCTCGGGATGCTCTTCCGTGGTTTTGGAAGGGTGGAGAAAGAGGATTACCAGGAGGAGAGAAGGTTATTTCACATATTCTTTTTTTTTTAAAGAAGAGGAATGGAACATTATTTTTGTCGTGGGCCTGTCCACCTCAGGGATCAAGAAGTCTTTGTAGTCTTCCTCTTTCCCCCACCTTCTTTGCTTTATCTGCCTACGGGTTCCTCCCCATCAGTGATAGTATTCTAACGGTTTGGCCCGCTTCGCACCAACCAGTAGTAAAAAAAACAGCTACTGTTTTGACTGAACCAGTATTTCTCTGCCCTCCCCAACGATCAGCTGTTCTGACGATCAGCTGTTCCGGGATCCCCCTCGCTGCCTTCCTGCTTCGCCCAGGAGGCTTCCCTGAGGCCCAGGAGGCATAAAGGGGTGTGCAGGATGGGTAGGTGGGTGCTGCCAAAGAGAAAAGCCATGCCCACCCAGGCACGTGGCCATGCCCACCTGGCCACGCCCACAGAACCAGTAGTAAAAATATTTGCATCCCACTCCTCTTAGGATGATTGCACCGTCCCGGGGTCATTCGATTCTTCTTTTGCCACCTTCTGAATACGGGGAAACCAGATTCACTGAACAAACATGTCACTGACTTTAACAGCTGCAAATGATTCACTTAAGAACGGTGGCAGGAAAGGTTGCAAAACAGGGCAAGGCCACCTGTCTCGTTTAGCAACAGAAATCTGGGGCTTTCTTTCTTTTTTTAAAATAAACTTCATTAAACATTAAAAAAAATATATACATAGTACAAAACATTTTGTAAAATACTAAACCAAAAAGTTATACATAACCAATAAATGTAAAAACATAAACATTTCTAATTGCTTAGACGAACACCTTATCAAACAATTTTCCAATACTTAATTCCTCTATCTGGTAAATACTCCTGTCATAATCTTTTTATATTTTCCCTTCCCTATCTGTTTACTCTCTGGTTTCTATCCTTTATCCAATTATACCAGTTTTCCCACACAGTATAATATTTCGAGTCTTCCTTATTCTTTTAACTTTTGGGTGAGTTTATCCATTTCTACGCAGTCGTAGATCTTCTGGATTATCAAATCATCCGTTGCCATCTGATCTCCCTTCCAACATTGAGCTAATGCTATCCTTGCTGCGGTGATTATATGTAGAATTAAATATTTTATTTCTTTTGCGATGTCACCTTTTATTATTCCCAACAAAAAAAAAATTCAGCCTTGAGTTCTAATTGAATATTTGTGATTTCTCTTATCCATATTCGTATTTTTTCCCAATACTTTTTACTCTTCGGGCAAAGCCACCAAGCGTGGAAGAAGGTACAAAATCTGGGGCTTTCATTGTGGTCCTAGGTTGAGGATTTCCTGTACCTTGACATACCACCCTGTAATCACTTCCGTTTGTTCGTTTTGTGCCCAACCTTTATTTTTACAAATAACTCAAGGAGATGAACCTAACCGTTTCTCTCCTCCGATATTCCCCGGATAACAACCCATTGAGGTGGGTTGAGAAACCAAAAAGGAAAATGGCTAGAAGGAATCATGAGTCAACGAACTGAATTAAAAGTGCAAAAAATAAAAGTCTGCCGTATTGTGAAGAGGACAATCACCCCTCAATGCCACAAGGCAGAGCTCTAAAGGAGGAGTTTTACTTGGGCAATATTTACACAACCAGACAACCACCCAGTGGTTGGATCCTGCATTGCCCAACTGTGTTTGCAGGTTGCAGTTTTGAAACAGAGACAGTTTCAAAGTTGCTATTTATTTACAAGTCCTTAATTAGTAAGTTCCTTTCCCAATTTGCACCGGAAAAAGCTTTCCTCACCGCTTTCTTTCACCTTTGTCTTTGGCTCTTTCCTTCACCCTGTTCTTCCCAGGGGCCTCTTCCTTTAATATATATTTTTAAAGTGCGTTATTTTCTGACGGTGAAAGCAATCAACCGATGGAAGAGAAGTTGCCTTCGGAAGTTGTGGGAGCTTCATCACTGGAGGCTTTCAAGAAGGGACTGGACTGTCATTTGTCAGAAATGGCGTAGGATCTCCTGCGTGGGCAGGGGGTTGGATTAGATGACCTTTAAGGTTCCTTCCAACTCTGTTAATCTGTTAATGTATAAATTGGCCAATGCAAATTGTATTCTGCAGCAGTTAGTTTTTTAAAAAATGAGGAAGGCAGCTATTCAAATTTCTGTTTTTCAGCCTATAGCGATGTATTTATAAACAGTTCAGCAACAAAGAGGTACAAGGAAAAAGATAGGAAACAAATTAAAATTCAGCCTTATTGATTGTAATTGATAGTCCCAAGAGCCCAATAAGAGACTCTTTTCTCTGGTCGAGAGGCATCAGACTGAATTTTTCCATTTTCTTAGAAGAGAAGAGAAGAAAATAAAATAAAAATACATAAATAAAATATAATATAATATAATATAATATAATATAATATAATATAATATAA